CCCGAAATCAAATTGTTTTTTAGAAGATCCAGAATCGAACTGACTGGTTCTAAACGGTTCTGGTCCGATTTCACCGATTTTGGGAAAAAGTGCCAACTCCTAATACAGGCATACTTTTACAATAATATATAATAGATATGTATGTTAAAATTGAAATGGTAAGATTGGATTATTTTCGTAATAATCAAAGGGCTATAAGAGTTGGACTTTATCAAAGAATTATAGATAGTATAAAAAAATGGTGAGAATATAAGCTATAAAATTGGTAAGTCATTTGTGTTACCTGCAAGATTTATTGGGGTCCTAGAAATTTAACTACAAGATATATGGATGGCATGTATTTAGTTAAGAGATATGAAAAATCTTATGTATTTTTAACAATGACGTGTAAATTTGGGATGGATCGACAATGAAATTTTTTCATACTAATCTATAAATCCTTTATCAAGATGTATTTCACACAAGTAATGTGATTCACTTTATTCAACATGGACGACGTAACTTACATGCTTCAATACAGGGGTGGACATACAACATCTCCAATAGGTTCTATGGATTGTTATCTCTGTGACAATAAATAGAGTGCGGTCGAGGTCGATTTTTTTCAAATTTAAAATAAAAATAAAATAAAAACATTTTACGCATGCTCATATGCAGAATTGCCCCGCTTTGGAGAAATAGTCATGGCTTTAGAGTTGACCGTTCTTTCTCCTCCAAAGAACATTTATGTGCAAGCTACCAGCCCAGGTCAGATCTTGTAATCCCCGTACGTAACCTACAAAACCCTCCAACAATATCTAATCACTCACCTAAAGGAAATCTGAAATTTTATAAAATATATTTTTGATACAAATTCTTTAAAATTCATTTTTTTGAAAATCTGAAATTTATAAAGTCCACTTTTGATACAAATTCTTTAAAGTTCACTTTTCTTCGAATTCGTTTTCAATTAAAACTTCTTGTAATAAAATAATTTTGCACGTGATTTCATAATTATTTCCTATTTGTTAACCATATTTTCTTCAACAAAAAATAATCAAATTTCATAAAATCTATTCTAAAATACTATGTTCTTTTATTTTACAAATGTTCGACTTATTTTGAGTTATATGGTGGATCAATATAGACCTATATGTATCTCATCATCGCTAAATCAAGAAAGTCAAATCTAATTGAGACGAGTAACATGTTTAAGTAATCCAAAACATGTTTTTTTTTTTTCATGCTCATTAATAATATTGAATTTTTTTTAGTGCTATCCCTAAATTGAAAATAGGACCAAAAATAACATCTTCTGTCTATTTTTTTTATCTTTTTCATAAAAACAAAAATTCTGAAAAATAAACCACTCTGTTAAGATCCACACCTTCTTCACTACACTACAGAGGCTTTATGATCTCCCATGGCATAGAATTTCTCGTCATCGCTGCTATAGATTTCACAAATTCGTTCAAATTTTTACATACTTCCCAAAATGTATACGGCACATTCACGTGACTAAGTTTGAGCATATGCCTATGAGACATAAAGATCAATTCCAATATAAATAAATAAATAAATAAAATTAAAATGTCAAGTGAAGTATCACTCTCTTTGTAAACTCAAAATCGTTATTTAATCGACGTGACTATATTAATCATGCATATCTCCAACAATAACTAATAATAGTAATAAAAGTGACTAACACTAAAGATGCATATATGGGCTCGATGGGGTCAACCTAAGTCTAATCCAAATTAGTGATGGGATTAGAAAAAGGTGTGACATTTTTTTGCTATGCATGCATGTGACCATCTAAAAAATAAGAAAATATTTCCTTTTTGAGTATCAATCAAGAAAAGCAAAACCACTCCACTAACATAACATAGATTTGGACAAGAAATGTGTGGACACGTTCACAACGTAAATGTTATTGTCCGTGTCACACGCTAGTGATCTAACTAAAGATTTTTGTTGTTTTGAAAGTTATGAGAAAAATAGGAATAAAGAGCTATAAGCTCAGGTTATGCAAGAAAAAATCGAGAAGAACGTCTTAGAGAGTGTTTGGTGGGGATTAAAATTATATTTTTTAGTAAATTGTGATAGAAATTTTTGAAATATGTGGTTGAAAAGTTGTGGAACCCATAAAAGATGTGATTAATATTGATTGTTTGACTTTGACTTAAACTAAAATCAGATTTTAATTCAATAGCTTGAAATGTCCAATTCGTCCTTCCACTTTTGGTGTGGAAGGTGAAACATGTTGATAGTGGAGGGTAAAATTGATAACTTGGAGGAAATAAATATTCACCCCACTTGCCCTAATAAAATGTTCAAATAATAGGTAATTAATATTATATTGATACAATTGTCAACAAATCCATTAGAAAATAATAGAATTGTCCAAAAAATCAGATAGATTCTATAATTAATATCGTATTGATACAATTATCAACAAATCTATTAGAAAATGATTTGTCCAAAAAAAACTGATAGATTTGTATTTGATCGATATAAATATATATCGGGGAGTTAACCCTTGTGATAAAATCCTTCTCTATTGATCACTTTTAGTTTAGTAGATTATATATAATATATAGATAAATGAAATGTGATTGTAACACAAAAAAATAGGGGGACCAAAATTTCTTATTCTTGATATTCGATGATGAAGCGTGCTAGGTAATAAAATTTTAAAAAATATATGTGGAAAAAGTCTTACCCTACCAATTAATAAAATGCATTTTAATAAATCTCTTCAAACACGAGATCTTGGCACATCTGTTATAACAATTTGAACTTGCAACTGACCGAACATGAAAAGGAGAGCGATTCGAGAAAAATTTCGGATCCAATCAGTCCATTATGTGCAAAATTATATAGTAAAATTTTTTAGGCCACAAGTAGGGCTGTCAATTGATTAGATTTTAATCAAAATTCGATGACATTAATGGGAGATGGATTTAAGATCTCAATCCGATAATCCGATTAAGATCTGTATTCAATAATTTGTTAACCAAATAAAGCAAATATGGATATAGGTCAATCTGATCCGATTTATTATAACAATATAATATATTTTATATATTATAGCATAATTTATGACACATTTTTTTTTCATTTTGGAAATTGTATTATACTTTACACATAATTTTCAAATAATATTATACAATAGTAAAATATTGTTAATTGAAAATATTTGAAGAGATTTAGAGTGTGTTTGATTGACATGGAAAATATTACCTAGAAAAGAAAATATTTTCCATCTTTTGTGGAAAATAAAAACCACCTCTACCCAAGAAAAATATTTTCCTTAAAAACAAGGAAAATTAGGCATATTTTTAAAAGTTGGAAAATGTTTTCCATGGAAAAAAATAGCAATCAAACACTCCAAGTAAAAATTTGGATGAAAAACTGATATTTTTCATGGAAAATAAATGTAAACAAACACACCCTTAATGTTTTTTATTAATTAAAATAAGATAAAAATAATAATTAATTTATTTTATAAATTAAACAACCAAATGAGCCAACAATTGAAATTGCTTTCATTATTTCAAACTTTTCTCACTTCCCACATCAGGTACTCACTACAATATTATAAAATTTATAATCTATAAATAGATGGGCCAAGAAATTGGGTAAAAATTTATATGGGCCTTTTAATTCTAGGGTTTAGAAGTTGACTAATATAAATTTTTTATCTTGCTAATTTTTTCAATTTTGGATTGAATTATTAGATCGGATATCCAATAATAAAACAAATCGGATATCCATTTAATAATCAAATATCTATTGAATTATCGAATCAATCAAATAATTATTCTTAATAGATCGAATTGGATTTGGACAGATCTAATTCATATCCAATCCATTTAGAGCTCTACCCATGAATTAAAAAGTTGGTCACAAAATTATGGTCTAATAGATAATTTGCATCAAGTCTAACTCAATACCACCAACATCGCTATCTTGATATATATACGTTGATATTTCCGTCTATATTATTATATTAGTAAAATTGAGAATTTTTTAAAAAGCTTTGCTAAGCCTATATATAGAAACATCCCTCCAGGTTTTTAAGTACAAGTCATAAGCATTCCATGCCTTTGTTCGAATCTCATTCTTTCGGAAAAAAATGCATTTTTAAATGGTATTTTAACATCATTTCAATAACACATTTTTCAATAAAATAATATTACATGCAAATTCAAAATTTTTTCTTATTTTTTATCACACAGTTTCTATCAATACACAATTCAAAAATACATTTTTTTTCTCCAAAATGGGAATCAAACAAGGGCTATATCTCTATTCATGCATAGGAAATATCTTATTATCCCCTTGTTTGATTCTCATTTTTTGAAAAAATACATTCTTAAACACTATTTTAACATCATTTCAACCACACATTCTTCAATAAAATAATATTACACGTAAATCTAAAACATTTCCTTATTTTTTAACTACACATTTTCCATCAATACACTATTCAAAATTCATTTTTATCAAAAGAATGAGGCTCAAACAACGACTATATACATGCCTAAAAATTTTGTAAATGGTTCAATCCAAGGTCATGGGCGTTGCATTCTTGGTTATATTGTTCATAGCTCAACGTAAAGTAGGAGGAGACGGATTGAGCATCGATTTGGGTTCAGGTTATGGCTTGGGATCCAGCTCCAGGAATGGCTATGGGAGTGGAGGGGAATGGCTATGGGAGTGGAGGTGGAGCGGGAAGTGGCGATAGAGAATCTAAATCTGAATACAGTTCTGGATATGGTTCTAGTAGAGGGATAGACGAGGGTGAGTGTACAACAAATGTGCCCTTATTTGCCATGGAAAGATACAAGACTACCTGTCAACATTAAATAGTTCAAAAAACTAATCGAATAAACACAACTTCCTAAGCAAAAATTAGGATCAATTACCATAAACAAGGAGTAATGACTTCTATACATGTAAAGTGACACCGACTCATTTTCTAAAGGTTTTCATGACAGTTAACTAGTGCAAAGCTATTAACAAGCCAAGTGAAATACAGGCATATAACAAATATAATTGTAAAAAGGAAAACTACAATTTTATCCATCATAGCATAATTGAAAGAATTGCAATGTTCAAAGTGCTCTGAAAATTTCAGTATAATCCTAGGATTTAACAAATAAGCTTAGCACACCAGATTCTAACAATTGGTATGATTTCTTATATTTGGTCTATCCTCAATCTATCTTCATAAGATTTCATGTCATCTTGATGCAATGCCTCTCTTTGGTCAACCAAATTCCAACCCTCCATTTGCCAAAATAGAGAATTATTCCATCACCTCTCAGAAACTGAAGCAACTTTTCTAGATATCATGGACTCAGCTATATGGATTGCTCTTTGGGGCCCTGTGATTGTAACTTTTCTGCAAGAGGACAAAAAGTTCTCAAGACAAGAATAGCTAGGTGTTGCTAAAAAAATGAAAATCATTGATTTTCTCATACCTATCAGATGTCCCGACCATGAAATCACCCCTATCAGATATCTTTATCCTAGCTCCACTAAGCTGCAAGTAAAGAAGCACAAAGATGGCGACCAAGCCAATAGAGAAATTTCTGAAATACCTCATGTAAAACTTACACATTTATTTATTTAAATTTAGATTTTAGCACATCCCTTCTCACATGCAGCCAAGATTCATTTTTCGTTAAAGGTTTGACATGTGCACAATTTACATGAAAGGGTGGTAGCGGTAGCTGTTGAAATGTTGTTCAAATATCCATAAAAGCGTGTGGAACTTAAAAGTGGACATTGAAGGGCAAAACTTGGCCTACACAACCACATAGGCCATATTGGTGTTGGTCGCATGGCCATTTATAGAGTATTTATGACCTGCATTAGCCATTAAGGGCCGTTTTGTTTAAATTTTTTGTGGCTCTTAGAGATTGTCCTACAACTTTTTGAGTGTTCTTTGGCACCAATTCGTGGAGTATTGTTAAGACCTATAAATAGATGATTGATGATCAATACAATACACTCGAAAAAATTCAATTGTGATCATAATTTCATTCCACAAAAATAAAAGCTCCTTTCTTTATATAATATTCATCTTCTTTGTGTTCTTAAGTTTTGGTGGATTTCGCTAGTGTTTAAGTGTTAAATCCTTTACAACGCATGATAAATCCAACAAAACATTTGCCAATAATCCCTTTAAGCACCAAAATTCAATCCGAGAGGGGACAAATATCATTTGAGGACAAGGATCACGTATTTGAGCCTTCATTCAATCTTTGTTCGTAGTTCCATTTGTTTCTACATTTATCATTTGTTTATTCTCTATTTTCCTGCGTGTAAGTAATATTTCCAACAGTAGCATGACTTAAATATATCGTGTTGAAGCACCCTATCTAAAATCTTAAGTGGTTGGAGAAGGACACATTTTTTTAGTTAAATTTACTCTTCAACAAGAAATTAAAAGCTGCACAGTACCTGGCTGATCTCCATGAGACTCCTTCCACCGCGGCCAACAACTAGTCCTATATGCTCATCCGCAACACCAATAGTCACGGAACTATTTCTATCTTCCTACAATACCATGTAAATTCAGTTAAACAAACACATATAAATATATAACATCAGTAAATTATTATTACATTTTTATATAGAAATCCTAGGGCACTTTTTCCTATGCAATATTATTGCCCTCTAAAAGAAAAATTAGATAAACAATATAAGATGGAATGAGAACTAAGAGGCTAGTCGCAAGACCTTGTTACAGTAAAAATTGGAGCATTGGTAGGAAGACGGATCTTAGTGAATGACAAAGATACTTTTTAATTAATTTCAGACACTAGATACATTAACGGTTTTTGTAAACAAACTATAAAAAAACAACTAAATGCATGACTAAGATAGCTTTTGGTCAAAAAGTTAAAATTCCAAACCAACATTTGACGGCAACACAACTAGAACCTTTTTAATTAATTTCAGACACCAGATAAATTAACGGTTTTTTTAGACAAATGATGAAAATACAACTAAATACATGAATAAATAGCTTTTGTTCAAAAAGTTAAAATTCCCTATTAACATTTGACGGCAACACAACTAGAAACTTTTGAATAAATTTCAGATACCAGATATGTTAACTGTTTTTTTAGACAAATGATGAAAATACAACTAAATGCACAAACAAGATAGCTTTTGTTCAAAAAGTTAGAAGACAGCAACACAACCAGAAAATAGCTTAGTCAAAATATATGGAGATCATAATAGACCTTGTTCTCAACTCTGTTGTCTTGATACTTCCCTCCAACTCCATTTGGTTTATAGCTCATCCCGTTATATGCCACTGCTGCAAAATGGTCAGTGAATCACTTTCTTAACCATATAGAAGCAACTTAAACTGAAAATGTAACAAAAACTTTCCCTAACTTTTTCTATAAACATCTTTGAATTTGCAAAAACTATGAAGCATAAACATCAATAAAATAACTCCAACACAATATAACATAACATGCAAAATATCTGGAACTAATAAAATATAAAATAATAAAAAATTCTGATGTGCGCGTAAATTAATGAATTCACCAATCTCTGCAATGATCTAAAATTTAAGATCATCTCATTTTCCCATTTTATGAATGAGAATAATCGCTTCTTCAACAGTAAAAGGCATTTTATCATCAAGCATTTGGAATCAGAAAATATATGAGAAGGATTTTTCTTATTGCAGTGCTCCATTTTCATCAACTTTATTGAGAGCTACAACTATGCGTGACTCTAACAGAATGCATAATTAGCAATTATTTATTGACAAAGCAGAAGCATGTAAGTATAGCGTGCATAAGAAGAACATGCCATTGCTCCAACAATAGCGCATGACAGCTGATAGGATTGATTATCAACAAGAAATTAATACCTGCGTACGGGAATGGAGCACTTGCAGACTGTTGATAATGTGGGTCTTCTACCAATTTCAGTAGGATCAGCTCGATGGCACGGATTTGACCTCCTAAAGTACCAGTCACTGTTACTATTCTGTCATGCAACCCAAAGTGAATATCAGCGAGCGGAGATATCTTTAAGCCAGCTTGAGAGTCCTCAATCAATGACCTGTTCCAACAATTAAATGCAAGTTAGAACAATAATCATGAGGAGAAAAAACTATCACACTGTGTTAGTCTCATTAAGAGAACCATAATCCAGTTTATTTCAGAATCTGGACTTAATAGAATATAGGGCAGGAAACAACCTGACCATCCATCTTTTCTTTCTTATCAATGAAAAAAAAAAAATTAATAGCAGAAGCAAATTTTGTTATGCACTAGTTGTGTTTAGAATAAGCCTGTGAGATACACCCTTTATTATCTGAAAATCAAATTATGCATTGGGTTTGCTATTATACGAAAAAAAGAGGAGCAGTAACATTTGTACAAGCTCAGTAGAAGTCAAATATTGAAAATAAAATGAAGCCAAAAAATATTATTTCACCTCCAAACAAAATAATAATAATAATAATAATAAAGGAAGGGAGAGAGAAAATTATAATAAAATTGAAAGAAACCAAAGAAAGTTGAAGCAACACTACTCAAAAGAGACGCCAATTTTGCCAACCATTCAACATAAGAACCATATGCATTTCAACATGAAAACATAAAGCTTAAATACCACACCAGTAGACATGTCAAACTTAAGGAAGGACGAATTTCCAGCGCCCTCTCCTCTAAACCCTAACCCTAAAGACTCAAGAAAGAGGTTGACAGGGAACATTACTAATGAAGCTTATTCAGTGTATGAATGAATACTAATTTGAATGTCCTATAACATCAATAAACTGATAACAGAGTAAGGGACAAGTATCCATTTGTTTCCAATATTACATTTTGGGGGTAACAGGCATTAAGTGTGCCTGGGTCACAAAGACTGAGAGAGAGGAATATATACATGCATTGATAATCACACAAGCAACAAGTGACATAGATTTTTTATGGAAAAACTTTCTTCAGGATGTGCTAACAAGAGGCAGCCTCATCTTCTGTGTTAAAAGCTCAAGAGACTAAATTACTTGATGAAAGCTCCAGCATGGCCTTTGTGAAAAGCTTATAGCCACCAACTGTTGGAAGCCAAGGCAGCACTTCTAAATAGACAAAATAGAAGTACAAGATGCTTCCTGAAGAAGTGGTAGCAAATTTCACCTTGAAACAACAATAATTTTCTACTAAACACGTTAAAACCAAGACGGGAAAAGGAAAAGGAATATTAAAAGAAAGGTAATAAATTGATCGATATCATGATTACAACTTTACAGAATCCATCAACTTGCGCCTGTATTTCAAAAGCGCACACATATAGACATGCAGAGAGGATATGTACATTCGTGCTGTGCACATGCACAGAAGTAGAAAAACAGGCCTGTTATGCAAGAATTCTGTGACAAGCTGACAACCTGAGCCTGCAGGTTGCCCTCTAATGCATATAATGAAGGCTACAGCCTAGAAAGTCACTGCCCGAATTTGCCTCCATATTATTTAACTAAAATGCCCCTTACTGACAATAGCAAGAAACAATTTACAGAAATCTTTTTCAAAGTGAAAATCAGTGTTCAAGTGTGTAAAAAGCACACCACCAATTAAGCTGATTTAACAAAAATCCTGTTGAAAATATATATAATATGAAGGAACTTACCTTTAAAAATAGACATTTCTATTAAAAGGTGAAAACGCTTTAATCCATTTAACAGGCCAAAAAAAGAATCTTTTTTTGGTAATACGGATATTTTTACAAGATATCCAAAGGTACACAGTACACTAAACGAATTAAAACTTTCAGAAGTTACTTGGTCAAGAATTAATTTCCAAATAGTTCATAAGAAAAAAGGAACAGAAGAAAGTGATATAGTCAATTTGACATTTAATAACTAGCAGTGACAAAGCATGCGATGTGAAAACCTATATAGTCTAATTTTGTGTATTCATGAATCGTTAAGAAAGTCAATATCATAGAATCATAGAATTTGTTTTTCGCTCTTAAGAATTGAACTTTCAGAACTTAAATAACTCCTTGCTACCATTATAGGCCATTTGTTTGATCTTCTTATATGCTATATCCTCCTATTAACTTTAAAGGAACCTAAAATAATCATTGAAACGAAAAAAGAAAATTTTGATTAGAGCAATGAAATTTAGCCCCAGTTTGTTTCCCGTTCTTTCCCCATTAAAATGAAAAATATGACCATTATCCATCACATCAAGCCACCAAATTTGAATTTTTATTTTTTGTATGAAGTTCATAACGGCTATATTTTTCATTCGCATTTTTACAAAAATGGGAAACAAACGCCCCCTTAGACTTATTAAATATCAGCTAGTTCATTTATATAGATGACACTCAGAAAATATGTGAAGAATAAAGACAATGAGATGATAGCAGGTGTTTCTCTAACGGGAAAATTGTTACATAGCTAGTAAGTTTGCAGGATAAACAGGATACAATTTGTTATCCCTCGCCAAGCTTAAATTAAGAATCCTTAAAATAAGAAGTTAAGAACACCATAATTAACTGCAAAGTTAAGCTATCATCTAAATTATTCACTATAGCATACAAAAGCAAATACAACGTTTTAAAATGCATGTGGTTATTTGTTATCCAAATTTCCAAACAAAATTCATATCAGGTTATAAAACTTAAGCAATGAATCCAAGTAGTAGCTTGGAACTGCTTAAATTATAAACTAAGCAGCGGATCCCAAAATATGCTTGGACAAAATGTGGGTAATAAGTTGTGAGCCCTTAGAATGTGTGGATAAAAAGTGTGTTTCACCAACTTAGATTACAATTTCAACTTGGTCAAACGTGCAATAAGAATCTCACATCACGCGTTATGTACAATCACAAACATAAATGCATTAAGTCATGATATTTGTACTCTATTGCTACTTATAGAGTTCAACATTTTTGAAAGACAAAGTCAGCATAGCCGGAGTCAAGAACGACCTTCAATTGAGACTCAAAAGCACATAGCTAATGCAAGTAATTCCATTAATATCACTTAATCTAAGTCAAAGTCAACAATTAATTTTAACCAAATATTTTATGAGATCAACAACTTTTTAACTACACATTTCATCAACTTTTATCAAAATTCGCTAAAAATCTGATTTTAATCCCACCAAACATGGGCTTAATTTCGTATGAATGTTTACATGGCTTGACATCCATTAATAAAAATCTTCTTTATTAGCAACAATGAAAATAACGTCTTGCCTCGCTTCTTTTTAAATGAAGTAACGATTTTCTGATAACATTATTTAAGAATAAATACAATAAGTAAGATTCTTACTTTATGATGGCTCCACCCTTCCCAATTATTCCACCACAAGAGCCGCTGGGCACTATCAATCTAATTTTGGATTGTGGGTCAACCTTAGTGCCATCTTCCACATAAGACTAGCCAAAAATGAAATTAAATCTCTAAACTGTTGTGTTCAAAACCGCATCAGGATTTATGGTACAAATCATTTAACTTACCTCATTAAGCAATTTAGTAAGAATGAGATCAATTGCCTTCAGCGTGTCATCAATAGTTCCGGACACCATGGCTACCCTATCAGCTGTTCCTGGAAAATAATCAAGATTGCGCGACAACTGAATTCGTGCTCCAGATTGTGACTGGAGATCATTGATAGTGGAGCCACCTTTTCCAATAACAGATCCAGCTTCAGCATTTGATAAAAGGAACCTCATATGAGTTGTCCTCTCGTTGCCTGTGCAATAAATGACAAAATAAAGATATAGCAACATGTAATATGTTGCAAAACAAAAAATAAAAATTCAGAATAACAATCAAGAATGACTCATGCATTAAAAGAACGGAGCTTGAATGAGAATTATATATTCTTAGATCTCAATATGCAACATGAGCACGCATTTATTGCGTACATGCTTCACGAGAGATCACTAGTACCATAATTAAGCCTGTGAGTTGCGCGAAATGATGGCACACTACTTGTCCAACTATACATCATATATCTGCACAAGACATAATGCTATCCACTTATGTCACACCTGAGTGACAAATCTTCAAGTACCCATTATAGAAGCATTCACATTTTTGTCAAAATGAGAAAACCCGGAGTCTAGTGACTCTAGTCCTGTTTTCAGGAGAAAACCAACAGTGGGTGAAACCATAGGCTTCTCCTAAAGTAACGTTCTATCATTCATTTAAGCTTCTAGACAATAAATGGGCTAACATATTACTTTTCTAATCCGCAAATTTAGAAAAACGCACTTCCACCTCAAGTGCTAATATAAGTTTTCACGAAAATTAACTTCTCAAAATCAAAGAAAGTTCCCACAAAATTTAACAATGTCTATTGCTAAATTGCTAGGGTTTTAATCACAAACAATTATGAGGAAAAAAAAATCATTGAGCAACCTTAACCTGACTAACACTGTAATTTCCACACTATTTTAAGCTGTAAAGGAACAAATGTAAATGTAAATGCAATTTTCACATTAAACCGTAATTCTTCAAGCCAAACGGATTTAAAACCACAGATCTCCTTGCACACGGAAACACGCGCACATATAGATATAAATAAAAAGAGAGACCTGGGGGAGGCGTAGATTTGCGAGGCGAAGATTGGTTGTGCTGAACCTCCGACGACGACCCATTGTGTAGAGATTGGGTCCCTTCCATTGCCATGCTTGTGTGTGTATATAATTGTGTATATCTATGTATGTATATTGGGAGAGTCAGAGCATTACAAATCTTGAGAGAAATTGAAAGTTGAAAATGCTACCATGTTATGTATATTTTATTATTTTATATTATCTGTATTATAGATTAACGGTGAAGAAAGTGAGATTTAGGTGTCGAAAGAGCCTCATAAAATGGGAATAGATCGAGGGGTTAGAAATCGGCTCTCAGGTTGCTGTTATGGTACTTACTCTGTTTGGGGACCAATGCGAGAGTGACAGGTTGGGGACAGGGTATATAAATAGCGGCTGAGGTGCCTTGACTTGAATTGCGCCCTTAATTCGAATTGATTGCAATTCAGATCAAGAGACGAGGTTAGTCCACCTCAACCCTTGTTTATATATCTTGCCCCTGGCACTATCACTCTAGCAGATCAGTTAGCCCCCCTCTAACCATCATTTTTTTGAGAATACATATTTTGTAAAATTACCCTACTCGCATGGCCTCGCACATGGGGCAGGCATAAAAATAACCTTTAGAAAATGGTCATTTTTTCAAAATAACCTCTAGTCAATTTACATATCAAAAATATCCTCCATTTGAATATTACATAATAAGACACTTTAATATAAAAATACTCTATTTTAGTCCTTAAAATTAAATATTGACTGAAATTTGATAGTTTTTATTTTATTTATTTGATTAATATTTTAAATTTGATTTATTTGATTTTTTATTCGCTCTAAGTAGCACCCCCTTTATTGGTATCAGAGTCATAGAGATCATGAAAATTAAAATAAGAAAAATAGATCATTATTGACGTTTAGAAGAAGAAAGAGGTGGTTATATATTTTTAAAACATATTCATAATAAATTAAAAATAATGATACTAACAATAACTAAAGAACTGCATAAAGAAATAAAGGAACAAATATTAGAAAAATTAATAATAGAAAAAATAAAAGATATATATACATATGAAAAAAATTATTAATATATATGAAGATGAAGAAAATAATTTATATTATAAAGAAAAGTATGAGTACAAATAATAATACACATTTAAAATTAAATAAATTACTTATAAAAATGAAAAAATATAAGATGAAATACGAAGTATAATGATAATACCAGAAGGAATGAGAATATCAAATAATAGACAATTAATAAAATTAAGATGTGAAAAATTAAGACTTGAGAGCAGATATTTTATTTTAGTAAAAGAAGAATTAGTAGATCCAGATACAGCTGAAAGAAGATTTTAAAAAATAATAGATAAAAGATGTAAATTAATCTATGAGTTAGAAATAAGAAAAAAATTAAGATGTCAATAAGTGAATATATGGATGAATTAAAGTCATTAATAAAAATGTTAATAAATAATGTACAATATTTAAGAAATGAAGTAAAAGAAACAAGAAACGATATAGATATATTAAAATTTGAAATTAGAGAATTAAAAGAAAATAATAAAAATAAAGATAAAAAAAAGATAAAAAAACTTATAGAAAAAGAAATGACTCGAATAGGAAAGAAACATATATAAAAAGAGAATATAGTAATAGAAACAGGAAGTATAGATGATGAATTTAGAAAAAATATATTATCAAAAATATTAGAAGAGGAAAAAGAATCTAGAGAAAAATCATTAGGAAAATAAAAAGTAGAAGAAAAATAAGATAAAAATGAATGAAGAATTAGATTTGTTAATAGAAAATTTTGATCAATTAAATTTAACTGATATAAGTGAATACCAAGTTTTAATGAATACTGGAGGAGGACATAATTCAGCAGGAACCTCTAAACAGGAATTACATGATACAGATGAAAGTTATGCACCTATATATAATAAACTATATAGACAATTCTATGATAAAGTAAGAGATAGACAACCCACCTAAAGGAAATAAATATAAAGATATGTTTGAATTAAATGATAATTATGATAAACCAATTAATCATTGAGGAACAAAACTAGATTTAGATTGTAAAATAGATACTAAAAAAGCCTTATTAACTTGGACAGATTTAATAATATTATTCTTTTCATATAATAAAGATGACACATAGGAAGATACTGAAAGAAAAATAGATTTCTTAATAACATCATTTGAAGGAGATGGTAGAAATTGATGAGAAGAAATAAGCAATGATACAAAAACATTAATAAAAAGAAATGTACAAACAGAAATAATCAAGTCAGATAGACAAGGTATAAAAAATTAGTAGAATATATTTCAGATAAATTTTTAGGAGAAAATTAGAGAAGAAATGTTGAAGGGAAATCAATAAGAGAAAAAAATAATGCTGGAATAAAATTAATAAATTTAACAATATGTGATATGTGTAAAATTAAAGAATATACTTGTGAATTTAAAAATTACTATTATGTTCAATTTTATAGTAATGAAAATCAAAAAGTATACCAAGACATGTACTATACTAAGTTACCAGGTTCATGGGAAATATATTTTAAAATAGAATTTGAAAAATATATTAAAGATAATATTGGAATACCTAGAATCTTATGTTCAAGAATAAATTTTTTATTTGAAAGACTTGCATATATATGTCAACAAAGACAATTAATGAAAAAATCAAGAAAATTAACTAAAATATATTGTGAAAATATGGAAACCCTTGTGCAATGGAGATGTAATCCCGAAAGAAGAATTAATAAAATAAAATATAAAAATAAAAAGTTTAAAGAGTTTAGGAATTTTAATAAAAAATATATAAAACCTAAAAGAAGATATTAAAAAAGAAAAAATAATTCATATAATCAACAGAAGTATAAAAAGAAAAATAAAAGCGAATGTAAATGTTGAGATTGTGGAGAAATGGGGCATATAATCCTTAGTTGTGATAAAAAGAAAGTTAGAATATTACAAAAATAATACCTAGAAATAAAAGATGAATTAAGTGAAATATCAGATATTGAAGAATACTATAATCAAGAAGTGTATATAAGTGAAACAGATGATGAATCAACATCTGAATAGAGAAATTGAAGAAATAGAAAGTAATAACATAAATATACAAGAATATGAAGAAATAGAATGATATGGACTAAGAGTCACTTTTGATAATAATGAGTTTAGAAAATTGTAAAAATTATCTTTAGACTTAAAAATAGAAAAATGGGAAGTCTTTGATGAAATTTGAAAAAAAAAAGAATAGCAATAAATGAATATCACAAAATAGAAAAAATCATAAATGTAAGGACAATTTATGGGCAAAATAAATTAAATCTTTTAACAAAAAATACAGTTGAAAAATTATTAGCAAAGATTAGTAAAAAACAAAGTGAAAAAATCCAATATGTTTATTTAGTAGGAATACAAATAATGTTTAAATCACTATTTAGAAAAGTGATAGATTCACCCTTAACTATAACTTTACATGATGAAAGAATAATAAATTTAAAAGATAGTCATTTAGGAACGATAGAAAGAAATTTAACATGTCAAAAAATTATGTTTATATGTTATCCAAAATATTGTGTATCATTAAAAGATAGAAATTTTAATAAAATTTTAGGACTACATTTTAAACTTCATAGAGATGATATGATGCAACCAGTTGATCAAATTATAACTATAGAATATAGAGCTCTATATACATTTACTAATTCTAATTATGAAAATATTTATTCCAATAAACCATATATTGAACTTCATAAAGAATGTAAAGATATTAGTAAAATAATATAACTAAATAAACAAATAAGTTTAATTCCAGAAGAATATGAATTTAGTATAACAAAAAATAAACCTGAAATAAAAGAATTGAATGAAGGAGAATGTTCAAATAATATTATATTTAAGGATGAAAAATTAATTAAAAGATCAAGAAGTTTTAAAATACCTAATAAAATCCAGTTAGAAGAAATCAACAAAATAAAAGAAGTAAAACTATATAGGAATACTGGAAATATGAAAATAGAAGGAGAATATTATAATGGAAGAAAAAATATAAATGAACCAAATATATTAATAGATACAGGAGCTAGTCAATATTATGTAGTTTCAATTAGAAATAAAGGTCTAATTACTTATAAAATTGAGTCATATAAGTATGTAAATTTTGATGGACTAGTACATATTACAGATTTAGAAGTTAAGGTACCAATAAAAATAGGAGGACTAGATCTTTTAGTACCATATTACATAAATAAGAGTATGAATATAAATCACTACATACTTTTAGGAATGAGTTTTCTAAATAGATTAGAATATTATAGTATAAAAAGAGAAGGATTATATATTGTTCATAGTGGACACTACATTATGTAAAAAGAATTAGATGAATAATCAGATGAGTTTTACATTAGCTGTGTATATATAAATTACTATTGTAGAAACAAATATAATAACTTGTGTTTTAATAGATACAGGAAGTGATATAACAATATTTAAAAGTTTTTAAATAAAATCATGGAATAATAATAGTAATATAAAAATAACTGGAGTTACAGGAAGTACTCAAATAATTAATAGTGCTGATAAAGTTAATATAATTATTGGCAGTAAATAAGTAACAATAAATAAAATTTATAAATATTATAAATTAGAATGTGATATATTATTAGGAAATGACTTCATACAACAATTTCAATAATATAAACAAAATAATTATATGATAATGTTACAAACAACTTGTGAACACTTATTAAAAATTCCTAGAGAATTTAAATTTTATAGAGTTCGGCCAGCCCAACGTGCTGATAAATGAGGAAAAAACCAATTATATATAATGAAATAAAAAAATAAAAGAATATTATATAAAAATGTTCTAAAAATAAAAATGGAAATGAATATAGAAAAAATCATTGAACAGAAAATGTTTATGAAGAAAATCCATTATTATTTTGGAAACCACATCACCCAAAAGCCAGAATAGAATTAACAAAAAATGTTATAATAAGAGTTAGACCAGTGATGTATACTATAGAAGATACACGAGAATTTAAAAATCGAATAAAAGAATTGTTAGAACAAAAACTTATCAGATCTAGTAATAGACCTCATAGTAGTCCAGCCTTTATGGTTATGAAACATTCTGAACGAGTTAGAGGAAATGTTAGGATGGTCATAAATTATAAAGAATTAAATAAATATACTAAATTCGATGGTTACTTTCTATCAAATAAAGAAATGTTAATAAATCTTGCAAGAGGAAAACAATATTATTCTAAGATTGTAAATCAGGATTTTAACAAATAAAAATGGAAGAAGATAGTATACAATACACTACATTTAGCACATCTC